CTTGGCAATCATGCCGCCCTCGGGGATGTTGCTGACGTCGAACGAGCCTCCCGCCCCGACCAATGGGGGCCGCGGGGGCGTGGCCGCGCCGCGCCCCGTGGGGGCCGGGCTGCTGGGAGGCCGGACGGCAGCTCCCGAGGACGACGGGCGGACGGTGCTGCCCTGAGAGGCTTCGCGAGTCGCCTCGCGAGCTCGCAGGCTCGACGGGGAGGCGATGCCGCGACGAAGAAAAAAACACGGGTCCTACGCGAGATGGCATGGCGACTCTGCGCTGCGGCTTACCACGGGCGGCCAGCGCGGCACTCTACGCTGGAAGCGAGGGTGCCCACGCGCCACCTGGCGCGGGCAGCTTGCGCGCCGCTGTCGGCGAAGACGATCCGATCCCGCGTTGCTGCGTCGCTCCATTGGAAGATTTTGCTGTTAGGAAATCCAGCGCTCGATGACCACAACGATACCTGGCCGACGTAATCGAATCGAATCGCGCGCCAGAGCGGGCGCAGCCAGGAGGAGCAGTAATTAGGGGGAGGATGAGGAAGGAAGAGGAGGACGAGGGAGGAGGGGGAGGAGGAGGAGGAGAAAGACGAATATCGGCGCTTCCTGAAAGGCAAGTGGCGGCAGTGACTCACTGCGAGCGTCTTCGACAACAAACTCACATCCATCGCCCGATCGAACGTGTCGGCTGGGCGGGCTGGGCGATTTGCCAATTAGTTTCCATACATGATCTCGAACCGTGCTGTTTCTAGTGTTAGGTCGGGCATGTCCCCCTACAGGCGTATTGAAGAGGAACAAATCAAAGTAGCCAAACATGTTTCAACATGACCAACGTAATAGAAAATCGTCCCCAGACTATTTTGTAACTATTTTGGAATATTCCTCCCGTCGAGGGGCATGCCTGACTTAATTCTAGTAATTGCCTGGGTGGCGGGCTTCTACACAAGCGGAGGGCGGTGAGTTTTCAATCTGAGGCGATCGCGCTTGCAAAGCACACCATCGTCTTGAGTGCTCCCAGCACTTACAACACGAGTGTGATGCAATGCCTGTTCAGCATGGGGCTCCCGATCGAAGCTTCCGCAAGCTTTACACTCGACCAGGCTAGTAAGGATGCGCAATAAGGATGCAAGGGCCTTGGAACGCCATGTTGACGTTTTCCGTGCGGAGCGCAGCATAATGCCGAAGGATGCCGAATACCGAAGAGGCAAGGATGCAAGGGTAGCCTTGGAAAATTGCCCCATCCTTACTATCATGGTTGACTGTATTGCCAGAAGCTTGAACTCGTGCAATCCTTAAACACGCGTGTGGGAGGTCAACATGGGACTCACGCTTGAGAGCTGCAATGTTTATGGGTGCGAGCGTATCCGTGCTCTGCAAGCAACTGCACAAGTGGAGAAAGGGGACCTCCTTTTTCACAAGCGGAGCTCTCGCCGGACGCTTCCTCTCTCGCATGTAATGGCGCCTCGTATGTCTCAACGGCAGGGCTGAACCTGTACGGTGTTTTTCGTTTTCGTTTTGTTTTCGGTTTTCGTCGTTGTGTCTCGAATTCGCCTTTGCAGCAGAACGACATGGAAACGAAAACGGCCCACGAAATCGCCAAAGCACCGTTTAGGTCCACCCCTACTCTCACACAATAATGACGCCTCTCTGCACCTCGTATGTCTACTCGGATCCGGGGATGGGGATCCTTTTCAAAACGGAGTGCTCGCTCGACTGGGAGACCCCTGGGACGACTCAATTCCTTCTCCACCTCCGCCTCTCCTCCATCCTCGTCAACACTCTCCTCCTCCTCCTCCTCCTCCTTCTGCTCCGCCTTCTCCCTCCTACTCCACCTCCTCCTCTCCACCATCCATACCATCGTCACCGTGCCTCTGGGCACGGGATGGGCGTGTCCTCTGGTGCTTTGTCGAATCCTCTAAGCCTCAATCCTTGACCCCGAAGGATCTTAAAGGGGCCTAGGCTCCAGATTGACAAATTTCCCCGGGCTTCTCGCGTGCACCACACCCTGGGTTCACCCGCGTCTCCCCGCGTGATTTTTTCGGGCCCAAAGAAGAGGGTCCCAAGACGGGCCAAGAGAGCCTCAAGAGACTCCCAAGATGAAGGACGTCTGAAGATCGCTCCAAGACGCCCAAGATGGCCCCAAGACGGCCCAAGAGGCCCCCGGGACGCTCCAGGACCGCCCCACGACGGCCCAAGAGGCCAGCAAGAGAGCATCAACGCGGCCACAAAACGGTTCCACGACGGCCCCAGAGGCGCCCAAGACAGCCCAAAGACAAACCCCAAAAGGGCTCAAGAAGGGGAACACGAACCGAAAATCCGAGTCTCCCGCTCCAAGGGGCCACCCAGGAGGCCTCAATGAAGCCCCCAGCAGGTCTCAAAGGCCCCCACTGGGCCCCGAAAGCGCCCCAAGAGGCCTCCAAACGGCTCCCCAAAGGCTGCAGCACGGCCCCCAGGAGGACCCCGAAAGGCCCTCCGCGACATCCCAACGAACATCTTGAAAGCCCATGGCCCACAACCCAGGCGCAGTGGTGGGATGGGCCGACGAAGGCCATTAGATACGAATTCACCCCCTTCTTCGTTTGAGCAGTGACGTTTTCTTGGTCTTGCTACGAGCGTCCCTGGCGGTCCAAGACGCCCCCCCCCCAACATCGCTGCAAGATGTCCCACCCTCCCCCAGCCTTCAGTTTTAAGTGGGCCCCCGAATGCCCCCCCCACCAGAGAGCCCAACATGTCTCCTCCTCCTCCTCCTCCTCCTCCTCCTCCTCCTCCTCCTCCTCCTCCCTCTCCTCCTTTCATCAGCTCCCTTTCCTCTTCCTCCTTCTCCTCGCGTCGCTCCGCCCTCGCGCGCCCTGAAAAAAGAAGGGGCCGGGGATGCGCAGGCTCCCTGCTGGACAAAGGGAAGGAGGAGGGCGATGTGGATGGACGAGCGGGAGGAGACAGGCGGAGGGGGGATGCGTGAGGAGGCGGGAGGGAGGGATGAGGGTACAGTCGAGGCGTTGACCTAAGGAACCCTAAATAAGGAACGAGGCCCCTTTCTCCCATAGGTTCAACCTCGATTTCCGATGGAAAACCTCAGGAAAACCCGAGGCAAACTTTGAAACAATCAAGGAACACCGAGCCCCTCCCCAGCGAAAAGGGTTCCTTCTTCAGCGCCCCGACTGTAATGATGGGCAGCATGGTGAGAACCCTGGCGACCAAGGATGAGAGGGAGGAAGAGGGGAGAGGCGATGGATGATGACGAGGGAGAGCAGACGGGGCATGACGTGGAGGAGAAACGAGGGCAACGGGAGGAGACCGAGAAGACGAGCGAGCGGGAGGATGAGGAGGACCACTGGGAACATCATCTGTGAGACGCAGCACTGATAACGAGGCGGTGAAGGATGACGATGGCGATGATCGGGGAGGGGGAGGGAAGAACACGAAGAATACTCCTACGAGGAACAGTAACAAAACGAGGATACGGCTACGTCGGAGAATCGGGCGGTAGTGACGTGGGGCAGACAAGGACATCGAGGAGACCGAGGCTGCTGACTGCTGATTGTACGCCCTGCGTCTTCAGGGCCTGCTACGCTGGGCGAACACCTCGGCCGACGCCGAGGCGCATGCGGCCGAGCCCATGCCCAACCTTCACAAACTTCAGGATCACACTCCGGACCGACTCCGAAGCACTGGCGCCGCTCATGTGCCCAGCGCCTTGGAACTCGGAGCCGCCCGACGGCGACTGAGAACTGAGGAAACACTAGCCGCCGCGGGAGAGCGGACCAACACAAACCACAACTGGAACAATCTCCCACGCAACCCGCCGGGTAAAGACACGCACACGGCTCCCTACCATCACCGTTCCGTCGCTCCCGCGAAGCGGCGCCTCTCGGGCCCCCGTCGCGCGTTCTGAAGAGCCTCCGCTCTGAAGCAATGTTTGAGCTCTGAAGCAATGGTCCTGCAAGTTGAACACCTCCACTAGCGCGGTCGCCGAACCGCGCTGGCACTCCGCCGTGAAGCCGGAGGTCACGTGGCCGCAGCTCGGCCCCAGGCGCTGCCACTTGGGCATCAGACCCTGCCCACCCTGCAAGGCGGTGGAGCCATGACCTGGTCCTACGAGTCCTCCTTGTGGCCCTGGTCCGTGACCCAGGCTCCCTCCGATAGCCGACGCCTGCGCTGCGGCGTAGATGGAGCCTGCGCTGTCCAAGAAGCTCGAACAGGCTCCCGGTGGCGCCTCCCAAAGGCCTGCCGCTCGTGCTCCCTTCCGAACCTCTTGGGTGTGCTTGCTGGTCGCGCCACTCTGGTCCATCAGAGTGTCCTTGGTGCCATCGCCCGCTCAGGTCCCAGCACTCGTCATCGCAAGCGACGACGCCGACGGCCTCCGCCTTGTAGCCGCTCGCGAAGCTCTTCCAAGGGCTCCCAGCTTCGCGCTTCGCGCTGCGCGAAGCGCGAATAACTTCGCGCTCTCGCGCCGCCCCCCCCCAAAGGGAGAACAGGAGGACGAGGAGGAGGGGGAGCAGGAACGAGGCCCGCGAGGCGCGAAGAACTTCGCGCCCTCGAGGGCGCCCTCGTCTTCCGCCTCCCGCCGAGCTGTTCCGACAGCGAGCCCGCGCCAACGCAGGCCTGGAGCAGCACCGCTCCGGGCAGCACGCCACGGCTCGCCTGCTCTGCCGCGGCTCGGGCGCGCCGCTGCTCCCCCCTTTCCAGCTGCGCGCGCCGAGCCTCGCCCCAGAGAGGAAAAAGCTTGCGCCGAACTGTCCTGGGCACACACGCCACCCAGGAGGAGGAGACCGAAGGAGAGGAGCTAATTTTTTGTTCGAAGAAGAGACCAGAGGAGGAGGAGGACGCCACGGAGGAGGAGACCAAAAGGAGGAGGAGCTTTTTTTTTGTTCGAAGGAGGGACGCCGCTTCGACGAGCTGCGGGGGGCCCGTGCGGGGTGGGCCAGTCCCGCCGAGAACGCGGAGCACAGGGAATGTATTTTCGAACTCCCACAGAATTCAGTAGCTGAGCATGTGAAACGTGCCGAGAGACACCAACCAATGCCCGACAGAGAACATGTTTGAAATTAAGCAGAGACCCCACCAATGTCAGGACATGGCAACGATTGAAATAGATCCAGAAACAAACCAAGAGACATCCACCACTGCAAGGTGCCAAACATGTATGACATAGATCAAGCGCCTCATCAATGCCAGTCGGTGAACCTGTTTGAAGAACTGTATCAGAGACTCCCACCAATGCCAGTAGGGGAACATGTCTGTAACACATACCACCCTCAAGACTCCCACCGATGCCAGTCACATAATGTGTTTGACATAGGTCACTGCTGCTCGTCACGGTCTGAGTCCAGAATAGCTTTTTCCACCAGCATCCCCTCCCACCGTTTTGTGCTAGAAAGGTCAGAAGTCTCGCGGACATCATGCGCGTTCACACGCGCAAGGTCACCGTCAGAATCGATTTTGAACATTACGGCATCTCCCTCGAGGACAGATGCCGCCAGCCCGACTCGACCGATGTACTCCGCCTTGGCCACCACCACGTAGCGACCTACAAGCAGCTCCAGCGGCCACGCGGAACGGTGCAACATGCTCCGATAACGTTTCAAACATCTTAGATATTTGCACATCGTCCTCAGACTCCGTGCCCCCGACTCTCTGGAGGAGACATTTGGAGGAGGAGGAGGAGGGAGGAGGAGAGGGAAGGAGGAGGCGGAGGCAGAGGGGTGAAGGAAAGAGGAGGGGGGAGGCGGGGGGGGGAGGAAGAGTAGAGGGGGGAGTCGCAAGTACCTCCTCCTCTCCTCCTCTCCACCTCCTCCTCCTCCTCCTCCTCCTCCTCCTCCTCCTCCCCCCTCCTCCTCCCCCTCCTCCTCCTCCTCCCCCTCCTCCTCCTCCTCCTCCTCCTCCTCCTCCTCCTCCTCCTCCTCATCCTCCTTCCCCCCTCCTCCTCTAAGCCGTCCTTGGCCTCGTCGTCGTGGGCCTCGCCGCCGCCACCGCCCCCGCGGGCGCGCAGCCCCCCGCCCGTGCCCCACCCTGGCCGCACAGGTCGTCGGCGCCCACGGTGTCGTGGTCCATCACGACGAACCTCGCGGGCGGGCCCCGGCCCTGCACTGCGCCCACCGCGGCGCACCCACGGCGGCGCACCCGCCGCCTCCAGCACTAGAGCCCTCGGCCGAGGCCCCGTGCAGGGCCTCCGAGGCCCCCGAGGTGGGGCGAACGAACAGCCAGGGGCACGCGTGAGGCCAAGGGCACCCTTTGCCGGCGGCGCGCCCAAAGATTTGGACGCCCGAGATGGGTACGGAAAGAATGGGTACACTGCCCAACAGCAAAGGTTGTCCCAAAACAACAGCGGCCGCTGTTGGGCAGGCGGCCTTCTGTCGCGAATGGACACAGGCCGCGGCGGCGCGGACAGCGGATCCAGTTCAAAATGAACAGGAACTGCTGTTGGGCATTGTACCCATTCTTTCCGTACCCATTTCGGGCGTCCAGACTGGACACACACACAACAAGCCACAGGAACATAGGGAGCAGCCAAGAGGGGGGTGTCCAACGGGGGGGGGTGCAGATCATGGCCGGCGGCACGTGCGCGGCCGAGCGCGGGGACCAGGGACGAAATGAAGCAAGAAGGGGCGCCATGAAATCTGAGCAAATATCATGGCCCCCGCCATGATATCCCCCACCTCCTAGTCATCACCCCCCTCTTTGCCGCCCCCAAAAACAGTGCCCCCCCCCACCCCTCGGCACGATGGACGCGGGTCCTGCAAGAAGAGAGGTCCCCCGGACCTCGCGGCTCTTTCCCGGGACCCGCTTTCCATCCCGATCGAGTCGTTCGAGTCGCTTCCTGACGGTCCTGGGGCCCAGTGAGCCAGGGAGGCCAACAGCGTGGGACAAAAACTAGGGGCTCCCCTTTTCCTCGCGACCCCCTCTCCTTCAGCCGCGCGGCGGGCGGCAGCTGCCCGACGCTCCCGATATATATATATATATATATATATATATATATTTATATATATGCTTCTCTCACCTGTTTTTGTGCACTCCGCCAGGGAGCTTGTCAGGCCAGGACCTCTGGGGGCTACTCAGGGGTCAACCCAGGAGTTGGGAGAGGTCCCGTCCCGTCAGCGGCATCCAAGGGCCTCCCAACCCGCCTGGCACAGCCGTGGCGCTTAAGCACCCGCGCTGCGTCCCAGACGCGCTGACACACTTGCACCGCCGGGAGGTTAAACGTCACCAACCCCTGAACCCCCTAGCTCTCGTCCTGGCAAAACTCGCGCGGAGGCAGGCACGGCCACGCGCGAGACGGTAGCAATGCTGCCCCCTGTCTGTGGGTGGGCCAACACAGCTACGGAAGATGGATGAAACTCACGTTATCCATCAACGGCGTCGCGCACGCTCAGGTGGACTCCGCATAGGTTTCCTTGGAAGGTTCATATATGCTTCTCTCACCTGTTTTTGTGCACTCCGCCAGGGAGCTTGTCAGGCCAGGACCTCTGGGGGCTACTCAGGGGTCAACCCAGGAGTTGGGAGAGGTCCCGTCCCTTCAGCGGCCTCCAAGGGCCTCCCAACCCGCCTGGCACAGCCGTGGCGCTTAAGCACCCGCGCTGCGTCCCAGACGCGCTGGGCCCTTGCCCCGCCGGGAGGTTAAACGTCACCAGCCCCTGAACCCCCTAGCTCTCTCCACGGTCCCTACCCTGGCAACAGCCGCTCCCTCTTGCTCCTACTTATGCCCTCCACCTTGTTGTAATGAAATGAGGGAAGAAAGGTGGAGGATGGGCGGGACAAACAGACAGGCAGTTCAAAGCAAGAACAGTCCATCTCGCCTCTGCTTGCAGGCGCGCGCGAGCAGGTTGCAGCGCCTCCGCTGCGTGGGCGAGAGATTTAATTGAGTGGCTTCGGCGACGGCATCATGGACATAAAAGCGGGCCGTGCACGCCGATGCCATCTGCCTCGGAGCAGCGTCTGCTCATGGAGCTGTGGCTGCGGAAGTCGGCGGAGGCGCCTCCCGACGCCAGCTGTAAAGAGTGAGCTTGGCATCTTGCAGCTCCAGCAGCTCACGTATGGGCCGAGAGTGCTCATGAAACTGCTTGGCTCCATCTCGAGGCAACAGTCTTGTCCGTGCGCCTGAGCCTTTGCTTTGGCAAGGAGGGCGACCGCTACACCGCTCCGCACGAGCACGAACTGACGGGCACCAGTCTGATGCTGGCTCTTGGTGTTGCGCAGCTGCAGCACGGTCATTTGGCGGACTGGATACAGCTGTACATCAGACCACACGAGCGAGGTCATCTCACCCGTTTGGAGGAAAGCGTCGCAGCCTGCTGCCAGCACCGCCGCAGCGCCACGCTGGCCCACGGCCGCCAATGCACCTGCGAACGCTGTTGTAGGACTGATCGGCAGCGCTCGCGCAGCTGGCTCCAGGCGTTGCCGTTAGGCCAGCGCCAGCTGTCTCGCAGGTGCCCTCGCACGGGCGGGAAAGAGTGCCTGATGCCTGCAATTGCATTATTAACTTCAACTAAAGATCCTCCGCTCAGCCAACGGCTCTCGATGAAGGCGACCACGCCAGCGTCGACCTGAGCGGGCGTCTGCGGCTGGCGGTGCTCCTGAATCCAGAAATCAACGACCTCCCCGACCGCCGCACGGTACCGCCGCAGGGTGAGCGGCGTGACCATCGCCTCCCTCAGCGGCTGGGTCCTCGCTGCAGCTCGTCGCGCCATCGCCTGGGCCGTGACCCGGCTTTCCTATGCTGCTGCTTGCGCTGCACGCTTGCCAGGGGCGGCTCTCCTGGCTCTCGCCGGCGGCAGCACTGGCAGCGTGGCAGCGGCGGCCATAGCTCCAGCGGGGCGGCGTGTCGGCGGGCATGTCGACGGTGTCGCAGTACTTGTACAGCGGGTACCCGGCCGTCGCGAGGAGCAGGGAGTTGAGCTGCCGGAGCGCGGGCTGCAAAGTCCTCACGCTCGATCTGCCGTTGGTGCTGACTGCCGTGAACGGTTGGGCATCCAGAATGTGCAGGTAGCGGCAGCGGTGGTTCTCAACTGCTCGGCACCTCCAGCGCGCTCCATCCACCGCAGCCTCCAGCACCAGCGCCGAGATGTGCCCGGGCCGCTGCCAGCTCAAGCCTGGCTGCTGGAAATCGGGGACCACGTTCCAGCTCGCCTCAGGCACGGGCAGCCGGCCCTGCTGACGCCTCGCGTCCCAGATGAGGCTGCCGTCCCCGTCGTTGTCGACCTGGTAGCGGTAGCTGTCGGCAGCCCAGCGCTCCGCGGCCAGCACCGAGGCGCGGTCGGGGCCCACGGGCCGGAACGGCGGGTGGCGTCCCGGGATCGGCCTCGTGAAACACGGGAGGTCCGCCTCTGGGTCCAGCGTCGACCAGCCCTCCAAGACCGAGGCATTCAGTGGGAGCCTCTCCACCACAAGCAAGACCTTGAAGTACGCGGCCTCACCCGCACCCTTGGTCTCGACGGTGGCGTCGGACGCCGAGAACGCCGTGACGGGCCACGAGCACCAGTACAGGCGCGGCCGCTTGATGTGAGCGTGACACCTGGGACCGAGGAACACGGGCGTGACTCCCAGCGCCCTGGTGATCTCCGCCCTCGACTCCAGGGTCATGCTGGACACATTCTCGACGAACACCATGGTGCGCTTAGGACAGGCAACCTCCGCTGCCTGGATCAGCTCGGGGACCGGGAAGAAGAGCTTCGGCCTCGACCCCTCTAGGTCGGTCCCCACGACATTGATGCTTGCAAGATCTCGGCTCGGGCTTCCCGCGCACAAGACGACCCGGTCGGCGTCCCGCGCATAACCCTTCAGCATCTCCGTGAACCGCACCGTGTCGACGGCCTCGATGAGGCCAAGCTCGATCACGCCCGCCCAGCGGCGACTCACCAGTCGCCGGGCAGCGGGCTCAACCTCGCAGCTGACGGGGGCGATCACGTCGTTCGGGAGTCTGGAGGCCTCCACCGCGGCCCCAGCAGCGCCTGCGTAGAGCTCGATGAGAGCTATGCGAGGGGGCCACCGCGCACCACGCACAGGAGCCGCAACTGCACCAGGCCGCAAAGTCACTGCTGAAGCTCCCCCCCTCGCGCAGGCAACTCCCCGCGCCGAGAGCCCAGCCGTGTGGCAGATGCCCCCAGCGCGCTCACTGGCATCGGTCGCAATGACACAAGTGTCGATCCTTGCGCGCAGGTCGGTGTATGCCAGCGGTAGCGCCATCGCGGAGTCCGAGAGCTCGTCGCACATGTCAAGGGGAACAGCCTGCGGTCGCGTCCAGCACCCAGCAGCCCCCACGCTGTTGAGGAACCCCACAAAAGGCCTCCTGAACTCCGCTGCCCTGTCGCACCTGCCCAGGACCATGAGCATGCCCTGCGTCGAGAGGCCCTGTCTGCCCACGCCCCACAGGATGAGCGCGAGCAACTGGTGCAGCTTCTCGGTCGTGACTCCACCCTGGCCGACGGCCCCGTCAAACCCCGCGCCCATCTGCTCCAGGACCAGCGCGCGGTGCTTGACCTTGCCGGGGGCGACGCTGGTCCCCGAGCAGCCGTAGGCGGCCCTCTGCTTCTCCGGGGCGCAGCTCACCGCGCCGATGAGCTCCGCGACCATCGCGCTGGGCACCACCTCGCCATGGTCCCAGTCGTCGATGCAGTACTGGACCCACTGCTGCTCGAGCCCCCTCGACTTGAACGGAAGTGGGCGGTCCTTGTGCCACTCGAGATCCGCGGGAAACCCCGCAGCGAGGGGACGAGAGCCGACCCCGAGGCGCCTGTGGCAGTGCTGAAACACCGAGTCCGCGTTGATCCAGCCCAACGGGAAGACGAGCAGCGCGAGGTGTGTCTTCCCTGGGCCCGGCACACCGATGAGCTCGCTCGGGATCGCCTCCGCGAGGGCCATGCATGGCTGCCAAGCCTCGGGCAGCTCGCAGCCGTAGAAAGCGGAGGCCAGGTCATCTGAGGACCCGAGCAGCATGTGGCCCTCTGGGAGCGGGACGGCGACCCACGAGGGCGATGCACTTAGGGTCCCAATGTCGTCCCTCATGATGCGCTGGTAGCTGTCGGCCGGGACCATGTTGATGATCAGGCGCTGGACGCGCGCCTGGCCGGGTGACCGCGTGCCGCCCTTGGCGTCCCCGAACGCCTCAGCGAGCACCCTGCGGCTCCCGACCTT